GGCTTTGGTTAATTCGGTGATGAACCTTCGGGTTCCGTAAGCCCTCTGGTTGGTTGGGTCCACTATTTGGGAAGCCTGAGGGGAAGAGACCTCTGGGGAGACCTAGACGTAGATGGGAGGATAATCTCAGGCGGGATCTATGGGAGATAGGAGTTGAAGGACACTGGATTTTGTTGGCCCAGGACAGGGTCCGGTGGAGGGCTTTGGTTAATTCGGTGATGAACCTTCGAGTTCTGTGAGTCATCTGGTTGGTTGGGTCCAACATGCTGGCGTGTACCGCAAAGGTAATTCTGCACTACTGGATCGATGGTGCATGACCTACAAAACAGGGCGAAGGAGGCGATAAGGTCCAACGCGATACTTACTTTACACAGTAACTTGGATCTTAAGGACGCCGTGGCCATTTAAACGGAAACATGTCGTGAAATAGCCGTGCGTGCCACTTTTATGGCTGATACAAAAGTGCGTGGTGAAATAATGTTTTTTATTTTCTTTTCTTCGGTAAGTCAGGCTAGTGATGTGCTAGGCACGGAGTGGAGTTTTGTTAACCCGTGGGTACATTTCGGTGTTTACATGAGTTTACCAGTGGTCAGTATCCTCAGCCAGAGGAATCCAATCCACACATAAAACCTTGTTTCTTCTACGCCAGTGGCTTTTACATGTTTTATTCTATTCATGTTTATCGACAAAACTTTTGTGTGCATTTCTTGTATCCCCATGCCTGCTACACGTCCGTCCCATGCCATCATTTTGTCTTGATAGCCTTGGGTGATTTCCCACATAGCCATTCTACAGTCTCTGTTAGTAGGGGAGCACGGGGCATCTTGGACAGGATAAGTTTGTAAAATGTGTTATTTCCTTGGTTACTGCAAAGTTTGGCCTGTTTCGAGACTAGGCATTTGAGGAAAGATGTTTTGAGAGGTAGTTGTTGTTTTCTAGGGCATCCGGTCTGACTTTCTGTGTATGTTATACAAAATAGTGAAATGTATTTTTGACATTTTAAAATTAATTGTTGGTACAGCTTGAAATAGCCACGGTGGTCTAGCGGTTAGAACGCTGGCCTTGTAATCCTGGGGTCTCGGGTTCGATTCCCGGCGGTGCCCGAATTTATAACTTGTGTTGGGCAAGGCCGTGGTCTAGGCAAAACGGAGTTTTCCTCCGTGGCATCCCAACAATTACTCCATTCACACACAGAAGAAGGCAAGGGCAAACCACTTCTGGATCAGCTGCCAAGAACGTATATGAACAGGTCCCAATCCGAGAAAAGGATGGAAGGATCCTGCTCATACAGGTTCCAGTCCGAGAAAAGGATGGAAGGATTCTGTTCATATGGACCTGTCGTCAGCCAGAACACTAAATAATAATAAGATGAGGTGGTCTAGCTGTTAGAACGCTGGCCTTGTAATCCTGGGGTCTCGGGTTCGAATTTATAACTTGTGTTGGGCAAGGCCGTGGTCTAGGCAACACGGAGTTTTCCTCCGTGGCATCCCAACACTTACTCCATTCACACACAGAAGAAGGCAATGGCAAGCCACTTCTGGATCATCTGCCAAGAACTTATATGAACAGGTCCCAGTCCGAGAAAAGGATGGAAGGATCTTGTTCATATGGACCTGTCGTCAGACAGAACACTAAATAATAATAAGATGAGGTGGTCTAGGCAACACGGAGTTTTCGTCCGTGGCATCCCAACAATTACTCCCTTCACACACAGAAGAAGGCAATGGCAAACCCCTTCTGGATCATCTGCCAAGAACGTATATGAACAGGTCCCAGTCCGAGAAAAGGATGGAAGGATCCTGTTCATATGGACCTGTCGTCAGACAGAACACTAAATAAATATAAATAAACAGCTTGAAATAAAGCAAGTTTCCCAGAACAACGTCGTAACACTCACTGCATTAAGACTTTCATAAATCTGGATCACAAACGCGTTTTCAAGCCAGATTTATAGAATCGTGCCTTCACGCTGATTGACATTGGCACGAGAAAGGGTTTCGTTTGATTTCGCAGAGGCTAATCATCTCAAGCATCCACTTAGTCTCAAAAACAAAATGGTTGTTTCTATCTGGTTGGCATCTTTCGTGAAGTCCAGTAACCTGTCCCTTCGGACACTGAATTTTCAAAGATCTTTTATGCAACAGAATGTAATTATCCTTTTAAGTTGGCCTACTATCCTTCTTTAGAAGTCGCACGAACGCCATGTTGGTATATTGACAGTATATTGAAGAGTGTTCCTCGTATTAAATCTCGCAGAAATCGGTCGAGGCTGCAATTTCTGAGACGATCGGACGAGGGAAATCGGTAACGTTCTTTGAAACCAATCATCCTCAAAATATTATTAAGAAATTCAGTTCTGTACCTCAAACATAACACAACACCCCCTTCATCACGAAGATAAAATGGTCGATGTTTTTTTTAAGAAATAATCTGTTTTTACTCTGAGAATTATGCTAAGACCACGAATACACTCTGTGGGCAGAATGCATAATAATTATTGATTGCTAAAACAGTCGGTGCATGTAACTAATGAGCTTGAAAAGGGTTAACTGATTTTCAAAACTGTATCGTTGTTAACATATTTTAACAATTATTTATTTTAATTCGTCTTATCACAATATTTTAAAATTTTTTATAATTAAGATAATAAAATATCATTGATGTTCCATGATGGTTTTATAAAAACTGAAACATGTTGTGTAAATGTTCCGAAATGTAAATCGATCAATCGATATGGAACATCAATGATATTTTATTATCTTAATTATAAGAAATTTTAAAATATTGTGATAAGACGGAT